GTGATGTGTATATATATATATAAAATCACATGAAATGTCACCTTTAAGGTACGAAACATATACCTACATGTGTATGGCTTGATGTGTGCATGCATTTGGTTGAAAATTTATGTTTGTAGATTCTACAATGTAGAACGCTTCGTTTCTTATGTACGTTAAATTAAGAAATAAAGAAGAAATACATTATAATATTATTAAAACTATTGCACAATTGAAATTGAAACGAATAAAGATAATTGGTAATATTACTTAGTACAATCTAAGTTATAAAGAAATACAAAAAGATTAATAATGACATTACCTGGGATTGGGGTGTTTGGTACTGGAAATATTGTTAGAATAATTATTCCTTTTTTAAGAGAGAAAGGCTTTACAATTGAAGCTATATGGGGACGTACATTAGCAGAAGTGTCAGAAGTTGCAATTGATCTTGAAATACCATTTCATACTAGTCGAATTGATGATGTCCTTCTTAGAAAAGATGTTGATTTAATTTTTATTATGTGCTCTCCCAGCTTACATGCACAAATTGCAGTAAAAGCTTTAGGGATAGGGAAGCATGTTGTGTGTGATAAACCTGCAGGTTTAAGTCAAAGTGAAGCTTTAAAAATGGTTCGAGCTGCACAATACTATCCTTCCTTAATAAGCATTGTTAATCATAGCTTAAGATTTCTGCCAGCCTTTGTTCATATGAAGAAAGCATTAGAAGAAAGATATCTAAATAGTCCTGTAAATGTTATAGAAGTTAGAGTTCATATGGGTAGTTTATTACATAATGGTTAGTAAACTTCAGGTTAAAAGATTAGTGTTTATATAGACATATTAAACTATTATTTAAATACAATTTTACTTGTAATTATAGGATATGATTGGTTGTGTGATGATACAATGGGGGGAGGAATTTTAGCATTGGTTGGAAGTCATGTGATAGATTTAATTTTTCATTTAACTGGTCAGCGTGCATCAAGAGTACATGCTGTAGTTCGGACCTTTACCCAGACTACAAAACATATAAATGGAATTAGACATGTTACATCACCAGATTTTTGTAGTTTTCAAATGGAACTGAGTGGTGGTACATTGGTAACAGCAACTTTAAGTAATCATTTACAAGGTCAACTTTCTCAAGAGGTATTAATATGTGGTGGTGGTAATCATCTCCTTGCACGTGGTGGAGACTTACATGGATATCACAATGGACAAGAAGAAATATTATATCACGATGAAGATGATTTACAGGATATGTCATTACCTATTACTGATTCTATTCCAAGGCCATACATTAAAGGACTAAGAAAAATGATTGCTGCATTAAGAGAAGCTTTTCAATCCGTTGAAGATAAAAAAGGTTGGATAAAGGAACCAGTATTTTCTGCATCATCTTTTGAAGATGGTTTATATGTACAAGCAGTTATTGATGCATTACGACAAAGTAATAAACAACGAGAATGGGTAAAAGTTAATATTTTAACAGAAGAACCAGATCCAAATCCTTTACTGAGTGCAGCTGTCAGAGCTACAGCTATATCAATATAAAGATACATTGTTTACAGACTGTTCTATTGTTAAAGGACAGTCTAAATTATATTATTTGCAAAGTAGCTAGAAAATAATTTAATGTAAACTACTAAAAGTTAAGTTTTAATTAAATATTTTACTTTTTTCATTTAATGTTGTAATAATATATTACATTGTAAATACGTGTATAAATATGTATATTGTATTTTGGAAATTTTACAATATTATTTTTATTTTTGTAGAGATATTTAACTTATGACTAATATTTATTAGTAAGTACATAGGTCATAACAATATGTATTTATATATCAATAAAAATATATTTACTCAGTGGAACACTATACAGAAATAAATTTTATTGGAAAAAAATTTCCATGTTTTATTAATATTAACATTGAGTAAT